GCAACATGGGAAATGCCATTATTTGATTTTTGTCTGTTACATTTTTTTATATTATATTGTTTAAAAGCTTCAAACCAGATTCATGGTTTCATTACATGAGTTGTACTACATAAATAAGATATGGGCAGGCATTACATTTCTAACTGGAGAAATGTTACTCTTCTGCTAGAAAAGTTCTTCCTCCATTCAACAAGGAACATCTCTCCTGTACGTGACCGTCTCCCAGAGGAACAAACACCAGTACATTTCTCCCCCTTAAAGCCTCCCAGAGATCATAAGGGGAAATACTCCCCACACCTTCCCCAAACTAGTGAACTCAGGGAGAAGGGAGAAAGTGCTGCTGGACTCCTCCTGGTCCCCAGTCCCTGGGAGGAGTGGGACATCAGGAGAAGACTCCCTGTATAACTCCTGGACCGGGCTCACCTTGGTCTGGGAAACGTGCCGTGTCCCAGGAGCAGTTAGGTGGCTGGGAAGTGATCCCTGCACTTCCCCCAGACCAAGATCACCCCAGTCTGGGGTAGGTGCAGGGAACAGGAGAAAAGGGGCAGCTGCAGGCAGGAACGCTTATTCACTCCCTCCCTTAAGAATATTTCTATTGCTACAAAGTTCATAGAAATGTGCAGAGCTATAAATGAATCCTTGTGCCTGGCCACAGAGAAAGAACCAACACGTCGGCTGAAATCTTAAAAACAAATATATTCAGATCATCTAGTGCAACTGGATGCCAAACATGAATGGGATGTATACATGTTAGTGCAATGTAGCAGAAGTCATGTAACTTTTATCCAAGTGATTTGCAACCCGCTTAACTTGCAACAGCTTCCCAAGTAGAGGCTTTTTAAACTATGCGCCCATTTACTGTGGCTTTGGGTGCTACTTCTCCAGTCAGCAGGAGCTTACCAGTGTTCCATACCAGACTGAAAAGTAACACCCTCTGAAATAAAACCTGCAACATATAGTTCAAGTACAACAGTCCTGAATAGCTGGTTCCTGTGACTGTATAAACACCCCAGCGGTTCACAAACCTTTATTTTCCCTAATCCTAGGAATTACATAGGTCCTGCTGCATAAATGCTGAATGAACACCAATATAAAGTCTAGCTTTAGACAGAAATATAGATGCAACAATATAAGATCTCAAGGAGAAAAAGAAATGCTAGAGTAGCAGGAAAATGTGGAATCTTATAACTCCTGAAGAATGAAAGCAACACAATTTTAAGAGCCAAACTGCTAAAATGTCCTAAATGTAATGTGTACAACAGCGGAGCTGCGATACCGATGACGACTACTAATTTAGCCTACAAAACCCCAGGGCCTGGGGGAAAAAGGAAGCAGCAGCAAACAGGAGAGAAAGCTTCACTGAACTGCAGTAAGGAGAGGAAAAAGTAGCCTGCACCTGGCTACACAAGAGAGTGCACAATGGAGCTGGAAATGCCACTGGCTTGGTCAGGCAGGCCAGGACTGAAGGAGCTAGACTCAGCCGTGGGGACAGCTGCAGCATGCATTTAGAGGGAAAATGAGGTGCTGAGCATACATTTCCGCAGTTTTAATGTTCCTTTACCTTTTACCTGTTCCCTCCCTTTAGCTCGTGACCCTAACCCCTACGATTTTCTGTATAAAAGCATAAACTTCCCCCCACCCCTTGTTTCTGGGGCTGCAGGGTTGGCCCATCAGCCAGGACACAAAACCCCTCTAGCGGCAAAGCCGGTTAGATCCGACTGCTGCCACACTTACTCAGCGCGTGATACACAGGCTTGTGCTTCCCCTCCAGCCGGACGGCCGTCAGGGCAGCGATTTTCCCTGGCGGCTGCATCCTCCCGTCAATGAGGAACCAGGATCTGGCAAATGTCGCCCATTGCTACAGGGAAGAGAGAGGAGAACAGTGAACAACAAAGGCTCCCTTCTCTCCACAGCCGCACCAGGCCCGTCAAGCCCAAACCAATCAATCACCAGCCTTTCCCCAGGCTGCAACTCCCCTTCCCCCCGCAGCTGGAAGACAGTGTCCGGCACTGCATAAACCTGGAGGCCGTTTTCCTCAGTAACATCACAAGGCCTGAAGGAGAAGAAGAGGGAGAAAGAGAAGGAGAAAAATGGGGAGGTCGGGGGGGGGGGGGACAGAAACCCCAAGACCTGCCGCGCGCCCCGCTCACCTGAGCCGCGCGGCTGTAGCTGGCCATGGCGCCGCGGTGGGCGGAGCTTCCGGCGGCGGAAGCGGAAGCGTGCGCTGGGGACGGTGGCGGCGGGCGATTCAGAGGCGGCGGCGGGAGCGGTCTTGGCCCGTCACGTCCCGTTCTGCCCATGGACCGCTACCTGCTGCTCGCCGGCTGGGAAGAGCGCAGGGCTGGCGGCCCAGGTGCGGCGGGAAGGCCCTGAGGAGCCTCGGGCGGAGCGGGGGTGCGGCGAGTCCTAAGGGCCTGGGGGAGCAGCCGGCGCTGGGGGGTTCCCTGTCAAGCCCCGCATGCTCTGCGTTCATTCCGCTCTTCTCCTTCTCCCCCTGGGCGCTTCCCCAGCCGAGCTCTTCTTTCCTCTTGTAGCCCTGCGGCCTGGCCAGGCCTGGCCTAGCCTCGGACTGTGGAGCTCCCTCGTCCCTTTGTGTCTCCCAGGACGTGTTGCATGCTCTGCCCATGGCACCCTTGCTCCCATCCCTGTTTTGTTTTTTTAAATTATTATTTGTCCCCCATAATCAGTTGTCGCCTTTTCTGCAGTCTTCTCGTCCAAGGGAGGCCGGTGGGCTACTTGACAGGCCTAGGCCAGCGTCCTGCAAAGTGACAGATAGGCTGGGCGGCCGCGCCTGGTGGCTCCTGGGGAGGTGGGCTCCCAGGCAGCACCTGCTGGCTCCTGGGACATGTTCAACGTGCTGGCCCGTGTGCTGTGCTCAGTGTTCCCCCTCATTTTGAACGTTTGTTCCTGTGCTTGTTTTGTCTTTTTGTTGTTGTTGTCCCAAGTGATCAGTGATGTTCTCCTTAGTTTCCTTACCTAATTTATTTGTATAGTGTAGATTGGTCCTCAGTGAGAGAGCCGTGTTGGTCTTGATGGGCTTCAGCCCATGTTCCAGAATGGCACAGCAAAAGGCCTCTTTGTGCAGACTGGTTTTAACTCCTTCCAGTAAAGTGTCATTTGTTCATGCCTAGCAAAATAATGCAATCTAAGCTGAATAATGCAGTCCGAGGCTCCTCGCATATTAGCGAAGCACCTAGTTTCTTTTTAGATGGGGAAAGTAATTTTGTGTTATATGGGATGATGCACCTCACCATCTGTGCCTCACTCTTCAGAAGCCTAGATCTGACCATTGGCTTGTTGTACACTTTGAAAATCAGGTTGCCCTGGAGTCTGATCAAGGCCGGAGGTGGGGAAAGCTTTTTTTCCTTTTTTCCTTTTTTTTTTCCTTTTTTTTTCCCTCATGGCTGGTTTTAGGATCAGTGGTCAGATAGTGAGCTGGCCCTGCTTGCGTGTTTCTGGATGCCTGACTTGATTGAAAGTATATCTGTTTTAAAAAAAAATCAACTAGCACAGGGAGTAACTAACAATCTGAATTTCAGAAAGTCTTGATTTTTGATACTTTCTCAGAAGTAGTATTATTAAATCAACATGTGGCATTCGCTGAGACCACACACTCGTTAGGATCCCAAATGTAAGCTGAAAGAAGAACAGGAACACCTTCTGAAAGTAACTGCAGCTGCTGATTTTGTGAACTGTCTGGCTGTTCCTTGTTACTGGAGATTTGTAGTTTAATTTTATTTCAGAAATGTGATGTCTGTTTTTAGACTTGGCCTTTTCTGTATTTAGAAGAGTGCATTGGTTCAACTAAATCAATATAGAAATGGATCTTGTGAAGCCTGAACAAGCCTAGGTACATCAACTAGCATTGATTTTTTTTTTAAGTAATTCCTGTAACTGATATAGTACAGAGTATCAGACTAAGCTTATGACATGTTGGCAAGAAAGGAATTGTTTGTCTTATTTTGTACTGATGGACATTTATGTTTTTCAGGTCTGACTTCAGCAAATGTTTTCAACCTACTGAAAGAAAACTTTAGGTCTTTTATGAATGCAGATGTGAGCACGTTCCCGGGTAAATAATAGCACACTTTGAAAATCAGGTTGCCCAGGACAAGTAGAAAATGTTGGTAATTGAATAGAAATTCAGTATTGGACCTTTCGTTTAAAAAATATTAAGTGCCTACCATATTTACTTGAATATAAGAGGGTATTTTTCCCCATTCATCATGGTGGTGGGGAGCCTCTCATTTTATATTCAAGTGTGGGCCAAGCAAGCAGCTGCTGCAGCTCTAGACAGGGCCAGGGTGGCTCATGTGGCAACTAGAGGGTGCGTGGGAGCGCCTGGGGAAGGGGCACATGGTGGGGGGGGGAACATGGGGGAAGGGGCAGAGAGAGGATTGCAGGGGAAAGGATGTGCACACTGAGGGGAGCATGGGGGAAGGGACATCTGGGTCATGTCCTTCATTCCCCTTGCTTTGCATGTCTCTTTACCTTTCCTTCTCACCGCCCCCCTGCCCCCT